TGAATAAAACCCCTTTCATTCAATGACCGATAGCAGAACCGTGGACATCCATATCGATCCCTATGAATACGCGAATGTCATTTGAGTGAAACTTTGGTTATCATGTGCTATTCCCTTTGCTTTGCAATAGTTTACAAAACACGAGGTGATATGTATCGATATCCTCTTGAGTCACTCTCATGCTCACTATATCGGTCTCCTTGTTACCGGTTTTGTTCTTATTTCTTGCTGACATGTTCCGGCATCCCTGTGACCTAGTCACCTGTGTTTGACCAGACGATGATGAATGTTTTCACAGCGAGAGGGCCCTTACAGAATATCTCTCCATCACCGAAGGAGCAAATCCCACTCTTGAGCTATTTAGTCCCTTGTCAAACTTTCCTATAAATCTGTAAGTTGTCGTTATGATCACCGTGCTACAAATGACGTTTGAGCAACCCCAAAGTTTATCGTACAGTAAGAAGTGACTATGATATTCTCATGGTCTAAGGAACTAAAGCATATGTTAACTCTCTATGTTATAACAATTGACTTGTGACGATGGCATCTCAAAGTATAACAAGTAAGTTTGGGTCGATTCAATATGTTCATTCTTTCAACGTCATATTATCAAAGTTACTTTAGGCTATCATTACACTTAACGATATCCTAAGATCCAAAAAAACATGATCACTAACAACACTTGAGCTAGTCTTAGAGGCGAGACTAGGAATCATGTTTTATCGTTTATCATTCCATGCGTGCATATGAGTTTTCCACTGAATTGCATGTTTCAGGATCATGTAGTTATAGCATAGAATATAAATTCTTAATATAAACATGGAAATATAATAATACAATATTATTGCCTCTAGGGCATATTTCCAACATTGAGATCACTTGATGCATGTCTAACTTGCGGATACCCGTGGTGACATTGGGGTAATCTAGGTGACATAAGATTTAAACAATATGTATCATATGGTGTTGTCATAGTACGATCTCTAGAACTATTCGTGACACTTTGGAGGTGGTTCAGTAGATTGGTTGGAAAGACAACTTTAAGGTGGTTTTTCTACCTATACGATTTCATCCTACTTTCTCCGATAGAATATATACTTTGGAGTGATTCTTTGCTGCACTTTGAGGGGTTATCACGTGATCCAATTATGTTATCTATTGGAGATATGCCTTAGAGGCAATCATGTATGATGATATTTCCTATGTGTTTATGAATAAAGATAGTCCTTGGACAGTATCAGTGATGTGTATCAGCAAATACGTGACTTATTTGGGGGACTACACATTGTATGATGACTGCCCTAAAAGGTCCCTAGTCAAAAGGGTTATGTGGACGCGCAACCGACTAGACTAGCATATGACACGGTGGATGGCTCGGTCTCACTAGCCATGGAGCATTGGATGCTAGCCGGATAATATGGACTCGGAAGGATCTGGTTGGATTCGACATAGTCAAATCCGAGTCTAGATAAGGCCCGAGTCGGACAGACTCAACTATGAGACGCAACGATATGTCATCTGTGAGTCTCTAGTACAACATATGTTCTATGTCATAAGACCTGAGCTGTCGCATGTACTCGGGATGGTTACAAACCTGCTTTGGGCTGACTAAATGCTACTTTGTAACTGAGTAGTTATAAAGGTAGGTTTCGGGCTTGTTCATACCCATGCCGCGATACATGGTCGAGCAAGATGGGATTTGCCCCTCCGATCATGAGAGATATACTCTGGGCCCCTCGTGTGATCCGACCAAGATAAGCATGGCCATGCGACAAGGATTAAGAAATAATCCGGTTTGCGGTCGGCATCACTAGAACGAGAAATAGGTCGGGCTAGCACAAGGATGACAGACTTGCCTTGAGCCCGATAACATATATCATGTGGCAAAGGGAACAGAAGTCTGACATGTTGTACAGGTTTGCCAATCGGCTTCATTGTCTAATTGGTGGTTGGCACGCCTTGCTAGAGGCCACTAGCAGCCGAGTAGGTCGTAGGTGATCCGACCTGTGACCAAGTCGACTTGAACCTAAAGGGCCGCACACTTAAGGGAAGGAACCTATTAGGCTTGATCCGACTCCATGAGTCAGATGTGATCCTACTCGGACTAGGATCCGGGTCGAACATGATTTGGGATTTAGGAACTATGTGAGGCCCAAGTGTTGAGCCCATGACGCTTGCATATATATAGTGGAGGTGCGGCACACTCATTCAGTTGATCGCTTTGGCGCCGTCACTAGGGCTTTGCATGTGTTGCAACTAGCCACATCCACGCTGCCGGTTGTGTGATCAGACCTAGTAGTCCACCGCACGACGCCTCCCGCACGCACGGATGTCGTTAGAGGTGGTGCACTCGCGCCGTTCAGGTGAACCTGTTCGTGGGATCCGACCAGTTACGTGGGAGATTGATGAGGAGGAGACGACTCCCGAGACGCGCTGCCTCAACTCTACTTCCGCTGCACGGCACTGTGCGTCTAGTGGTAACGATCCATGATCCATCTTCCTTAGCATGTTCCTGGTTGATCTGCACGTAGAATTTTTTTATATTGCAGCCGATGCACCTACCATAGAACCCAACATTAACGGTGTTGAGAGATTCCACTAGTGAAAGTATGAATCCTAGGCCTTGTTTTCAAGCATCGAGACACCGTTTTGCCTACTTTTTTACTTGCTATCTTGCTTTTTTTATTTGTTCAAATTACAAAAACCTATTTCTATCATCCATATTACACATCTATCATCACCTCTTCGCCGGCTAGTGCACCTATATAATTGACAATTATATTGGGTGTGTTGAGGGCACAAGAGATAACTTGTATTTGGTTGTAGGATTGTTTCAGAGAGGACCACCTAATCTCACACCTCTCGCGGATTGATAAACCTTAGCTTATCCACTTGAGGGAAATTTGCGAATGTCCTACAAAACTCCGCGCTTGAAGCCCAACAAAGTCTACAAGAACAAATTTGCGTAGTTAGACATCAAGCTATTTCTGGTGCCATTGTCGGGGAGGTGAGTGCTTGAAGGTATTTTCTTCATATCTTGCAATTGAATCTTGTAATTTCTTGTTTATTCACTAGTTTGGTTTATAAAAGAAAATTACAAAAAAAATGGAAGTGAAGTTGTGTCAAATTGTTTATCTTTATAAAATTTTTCTTGAAAACATGGATTCCGACAATTGCTATGAAGTGTTAAAAGAAGAATTTAATGCAATGTTTGGTGTGAGTTCCATGAATGATAAACACGATTGCAATGTTGTTAGTATGTACTTTATGAATATCCATGCTGCTAATAATATACAAAGCCATAAACTTGGGGATGCTATGTTTGATGAAGACGATCTTTTTAGTCCACTATTTTTTGTGATCAAATTTATTACGATGATATCATGCCTCCTATTTATGATGATTACAACAATGGTAAAAGTGACTCTAGTTAGTAATGATCCCACTATTTTGGAGGGTGTTGAACTTTTTTTACAATGATAAAGGTGGATTTGGAGAGGTCATGACTTTAGTAATGTTGAATCCACTACTTTGGAAGTTGCTTCAATTGATTATGACAACAAAGTTACTATATATGATGATTATTGTGATGACATGTATGCTATAAAGAGTAATGTTAACCATGAAACTTGTCATCATAATTTTAATGTTCAATTGGGTTATGTAAATAAAGTGTCATATGATAGTTATTTCATTGAATTTGCTCCCACTACTATTGATGAGAATAATTTTGCATATGTGGAGAGTAACAAATTTTTTATGCTTATGGATCATGAAAATAATGCTTTGTGTGATAGTTATATTGTTGAAATTTGGTGATTTTTGGACATTCGAAGAGGCCGTCGCAAAAAAGAAAAAAACTTTGTGTCTATGAGAAACCTTTGAAAACAACACTAGTTGAAGCTGATTTTTTTAGCACGAGCTTCTCATATCTCCAAACACCATGAAATTTTACACGCACCTGATGCACATGTGCATCTTGAATACATGAAAATTTCAGTTTTTTTTTTGAATCTACTACTCACTAGAAGCAGATGAGCCTGGGCTCATAAATGAATTATCTATCTCTATCTCTTTCTCTATCTTTATATCTATGTCTCTATCCTTATCTTTTCTCTATACTTAATCTCTATCTCTATCTTCTCTATATCTATATCTGAAAAAGATAGTGTTCCTTTTCCAATCAGGTGAAATGCTTCGTCTAATATTCCATCACTTTCTTGGCACCATTTCTTGAAAACCGACTTATTATCTCATCTTTTTTTCCAAAAAACTTTTAATCTATTCATCTTCTATCATGACAGTACAACGAACACTAAAATAATAAAAATTACATCCAGATCCGTAGACCACCTAGCGACGACTACAATCACTGAAGCGAACCGAAGACGCGCTACCGTCATCACCCCTCCCTCGCCGGAGTCGGGCATAACTTGTTGTAGTACACAGTGGGGAAGTCGTCGTGTTAAGGCTCGAAAATATTATCCCACCTTTTATTGACTTAGCAAGTAAACTTATATTCTTTTGCGGTAAGCTAATAAATGATTACAAGATAAAATTCTAAAATATATTTAGGTAGGTAAATCCAGAGTAGAATTTGATAAACATAATTAAATTATTAATAATACTATAAAAAGGTAAAATATGAGCTAACATACTAGTAGAATATATATACCCGTTGTACACACGGGTAATTATCTAGTACAGCTTAAAAGTTCTACAGCGCATTTGTAGAAAGACTATTTTTCTTATGAAATTTGTAGAAAAACTAATTGAAACTGTCATCCTGGAAAGAAAACGGTAAGCACGCTCCCTGACAGATGTGCTCCGCTCACAGACACTAATGGCAAAACATGACTCGCAGAGTTCCATACCCAGGGCCACGGTAAAGGAAGGAGAAGACGGAAACTCCAGCTGTTTAGCTGACCGCTATCACTAGCGCGGGCCCCACGATCGCTAAGCAACGAAACCCAAACCTCACTGGCAAGCCGGACCCACACATGCTCTCAGTGGGGCCTCCTTTTTCCCCTCCCGCAAGAACAACTCCAACCATAAAACCCGAGATGCTTTCCATTTTCCCCAAACTCTCCAAGCGAATCCCATTTCCGCCGGTCCTCCCTTCGCCAAGCCATCGGCGACTGCTGCAGCACAGCCTCCTCCCCCTCCTCATGGCCGACCCCTCCCCCTCCTCCCCCACGGCGGCCTCCGCAGGCGACGCCCTCCCCGCGCCGGCGGCTTCCGACGCGCCGGAGGTGACCCTCCCCGCCGCCGCCCCCGACCTGGACAAGGAGTTCGGGTTCCAGCGGGCGGAGCTCGGTAAGGAGAAGCTCGCCGGGACGGTGGGCTTCCACGAGCGCCACGTGTTCCTCTGCTACAAGGGCCCTGAGGAGTGGCCATCCCACGTCGAGGCCTCCGAGTCCGACCACCTCCCCCGCCTCCTCGCCGCCGCCATCAAGGCCCGCAAGCCCAATCTGAAGAAGAGCGTGAGCATTTCTTCTCCCTCTCCCTCTCGGTTTGCTCGTAATTGGCTGATTTTGAGCTGTGACGTGGTACTGGTATGCTTCTGCTCTGGTAGTGTTATTTTATTTTGGTTGTTGGGAGTGGGAACTGCTTGCTGGTCGCTCCGAGCGTTGGATTTAGCTGCTGACTAGTATTGGACTAGCAAGAGTTACTATATGATGTAGTGAAATTTGGTTATCTGCATATGGTGGTGCTGGGTTCCTGTAGCTGCAGGAGATCGCGACCCTTGAAAGCTAATCAGTCGATCCGATTAGTGTATTTAGTTTCCGGGTGCTCTTATTTCGGCTTATTGTTTCTGAATTAGCCAGTAGAACTCGCTTAATTATGGTGATCAGTGGTGTTGGTATGCTTACTATTTCGTGTCAGTTATGTTTCTAGATTGGGGTCTCTGTACTTCATCTTGTTCGCTCTTATCTCCTTTGAAGGTATTGCTGTTTCAAGTTCAACTACTGTGCCCTTCGGGTTTGAACTTATCTCGGAATCCACACACTCTAGCGTGTATACATGGGCCATGTGAGTCGAATTTCGGTGGTGATTCGTTGTTTTTGTTGACGTGTTTGGTATGCTTTGGGTGATTGGATCACTCTATCCAATTATTTGACTCACAACGTCATTTTGTTGGATTCTCACTGCATATAATGGATTTTGTTCACGAATTTGTGTATCTGGTTCCATTTCCAGTTTTAATAAAATCGGCGGGTTCTCAGTTTACTTATGATGTAAGGTTCCTTGACTGATTGTAGCAGTTTCATATGGTTTTCTGGCCCATCTAGCTCTGATTATATGGCTTGTTTTAAATCCACACGTTGTACTTTTCGGGGGCTTGGCTGATATCCGTATATCCTGTTATCCTATCTTTGTAGGCATATAAAAATAGGGAATTACGTATTTTGGTTCAAATTTAGGCTCTGTTTGTTCCTGTTTAGATGTTTTTTCATTATTTGATTGCATCCTTTGCTATGTTACTTGCTTGCCGTCAGTATTGGCTGGAGTTCATCATCATGCACCTTTGTAATCATATAGTAGTATTGTTAGAGTACGTAATGGGCCTAATGGGCCCATTAGTCTTAGGGTTAATTAGAGATAAGGGTCGCTTGCTTAGGGGTCAAGTAAGCCTTGCTTGGGAGTCAAGTAAACCTCTCTATATAAAGAGAGGAGATGTATCAATCTAATCAAGCAAGATTAAGAAGGAAATCCCTTCCCTCTTGCCCGGCCGTGGACAAAAAGGCCCCCGGCCGGCCTTCTCGCGCCCTACTTCTAGCAGCGCCATAACAATTTGGTATCAGCTAGCTTCGGTTCGATCATGTCTTCACCGCCGCCAAGCCCGTCTCTTCCGCTGCCGGTCACCTTGTCGCCTCCGGTGACCACCACGACCGTCACACCGCTCCTGCCCGCGTCGGGATCCTCTGTCGCGCCCGCCCCTACTGTCCTCACCTGGGAGGAGGTGTCCGGGGTGCTGCGGGACCTAACCCAGACGGTCCAGGAGATCCACCGATTCTTGGCCGGGTCCTACGGGCCGCACTCGGTTGCGCCGCCCATAGCCGCCCCCGCGCCGCCGTGGCTGCCGTGGCAGCCGCCGCACCAGGCGGTCTTCGCCGCGCTCGTCGGGCCGCTGCAGCAGCCGTTGCAGCTGCCATCCATCGCCACCACCGCCCAGCCCTGGCTGCAGTGGCAGCCGTCCTCCTGGCGGCCTCCGCCGCAACAACCGTTGCCGCTGCCCGGCGCGACAGCGCAGCAGCCGCTGCAGCTGCAGCAGCCACCGCCGGTCAGCTCCGCCGCCCAGTATGGGATGCCCTACGACGGGAGTGCAACGACCTCGTTCCCATCAGCGCCGCCGCCATCCCAGGGCGTCCACATCCAGCAGATCAAATCCCTGCCGTCGCCGTCACCGCTTCCGTCTTGGATCGCTACCCGCCACGTGTCGGCGGCGGTGAGGCTGCAGGCTGCTGCGCGGGGCCTCCTAGCGCGTCGGCGTGTGCGGGAGATGCGTGGTCTGCAGCTGCCGCTCCTCCAAGTTGCCCTTCGCTGCGCAAAGGACCTTGATCTCGTCCGCTGCGTCGGGGATCTTGGGCATGTGGTTTCCCCCACGGGCGGCTGGCATGCTGTTTTCTCCGCGGGCAGCGACCTCAAAGTCTGTGACATCGGTGGTTGGGGGGGCGCACCCCTCCTCGTCATTCTCCATCGCAAGCCTTCCACTCTTCCCTGTGCAGTGCAGACCAACAGCCATACACCTACACTCCTTTTGTCTAGGTGGTGTCCATGGGATCCAGGTGGCTGTACGCGTGCACGTCCAAAATAAAGCGTCCTAGTCTATTTCAGGTTGAGAATAATAAAACAAGCCGAGATGTAAAAGGCTTGTTTTTTAGGTGTTAGGTTTGTGTTGCGTCGAGTCATGGTTATAAGTTGGTTAGGCTGCAGCTCGAGGACAAGCTGCATGTCCAGGTGGGGTGTAGTGTTAGAGTACGTAATGGGCCTAATGGGCCCATTAGTCTTAGGGTTAATTAGAGATAAGGGTCGCTTGCTTAGGGGTCAAGTAAGCCTTGCTTGGGAGTCAAGTAAACCTCTATATATAAAGAGAGGAGATGTATCAATCTAATCAAGCAAGAATTAAGAAGGAAATCCCTTCCCTCTTGCCCGGCCGTGGGCAAAAAGGCCCCCGACCGGCCTTCTCGCGCCCTACTTCTAGCAGCGCCATAACAAGTATGTGCAGAGGACAAAGAGCTTGCTTTTTTTTTTTGTCTTTATATTATCCACATAGCGCATACATGGAGCTGAAGTTATGAAACATTGATCACTTGATCTGTAAAGTACTACCTCTGTCCCATAATATAAGACGTTTTTGCAGTTCAATTTGAACTACAAAAATGTTTTATATTGTGGGACGGAGGGTGTATATGTTATGGAACATTGATCATGTGATATATGGAGTTGATATTAATAGAATCAGAAAAGTACTGCGGATTCCTTTTGTTTTTGTATAGGTGTACGTGCATGATTTGTATGGTGCATTTGAATGCAGAAGTTCCGTTGCTTTATTCCTTTATGTGGTCTTTGCTCCTTCGTATTGGATGGTAGGACAACACTAAAAGAATTACAGTTACCCCATATAAAGATATTGGTACATAGTTACAGACTTACAGAGTTAATGAAAAGCATGTCAAACTAACAAGTAAGTGTATGTTCTTCTGATAGTATGTCACTGTTTCGCAATTGTACAACTTCTGGGAATCTGGAGTGTTATTGTTCAATATTATTAATCTTTCTAAGCTAGTAGCCTTATGAGGTCACGGGTTCAAGTCCTGGAAACAGCCTCTTACAGAAATGTAGGGAAAGGCTGCGTACAATAGACCCAAAGTGGTCGGACCCTTCCCCGGACCCTGCGCAAGCGGGAGCTACATGCACTGGGCTGCCCTTTTTTTTAAGCTAGTAACTTATGTTCTTCTTCATATACACTTTGCCAGTTTTTACCCCCTTATGTACTTTTCTTCTTATACTCAAGGCATGTCAGTTTCCCTTCCTTTTTAATTAGTTCTGCGATGTGCATGTGTCTGATCCTAATGTGATCCAATGGTTCAGCAATGTGACTTGTGCTTACAGAAGCACATGGCACCTTATAATAATTATTAGATTACTTGACAAGACTTTCCCATGTGCTTATTTTTTATTGCTAATGAATGGTCTATTTTACTTTTCTCAGACCAAACTGACAATTTGTGAAGGAGAAGATGGCACTGAGTCATCTCTTGGAGACGTGTTGATCTTTCCTGATATGATCCGATACAGGTACCTGCAAGGCTGGAAAGAAATAAACATGTAGCCTTTCCCTTTGTACTGTTAGGTAATGGAATACATGTCAACTGATTGTTTTCTTCAATATGTGTTGTGTTGTTTGCAGAGAGCTGACCCACCTTGATGTCGACAACTTTGTGGATGAAGTACTCGTGAAAGATACTGAATGGCTTCCTGGATCTCCTGAGGCTATAAAAGGTTCCTATGTTTTTGTCTGCTGCCATGGAAGCAGGGATAAAAGGTGTGGTGTTTGCGGTCCTGCTCTGATTACAAGGTTCAAGGAAGAGATTGAAGGACAAGGTCTTCATGGTCAGGTGGCTGTTAGTGCATGCTCACACGTTGGAGGTCACAAGTATGCAGGAAATGTCATCATATTCAGTCCAGATGCCAAGGGAGAAGTGACTGGTCATTGGTAAGAACCCGAAGCTATCATAAAATCTACATTGTTGTGCACCAATAATCTCAATACCTTCCTGTAGCGTACTCTGTTTTGATTATACTTCATAATACTGTCTTTCTAATTCTAGGTATGGTTATGTTGCTCCTGATGATGTGCCCGTGTTACTGCGTCAACATATCGGACAAGGAGAGATCGTGGGCCATCTATGGAGGTATGCTTCCCCTTCTAATTATTACATGGGCTAATTGTGACCGAAGATGATATTTGTAGTATTTCACCCATCATTTGTTATTGTATCTATGTTGTATAGGGTCGTTGGGTACTGTCAACATTTTCAGTTCTGGGTCCTTTTCTGTTGCTGTTGTATCTGGACCCTGACAATGACATGCTTATACATTATAGATTCTGCGCCCGATCAATAATCTGATAATATTATAAAACCTGCATTGTGTGTGTTCTAGTTTTTATATGTCTACAGCACTGGTTAATCTGTTTCCAAATGACTGGTTACTTCAAGTAACATAATCTTGAGTTATGGGAAGATACAGCGATGAAAGCGTGCCACTGATGTTTCTTTTCTTGAGCATTATGGTAAAGTAAGCCAAGTTAAAGACTACTGACTGCAAGCATCTAGGCAGCATGTTGTAGGTAGTTTTTACTCCCTGTGTAGTTTTCATGAATTATGTTGAAGCACTCCTTTCTATGAACTATTCTGCTCGTGTGATGCCACACAAGGATACTGTCTTGTATTTTCGATGCCCTTGATTGTTTATTTTCAATACAACAACAACAACAACGCCTTTAGTCCCAAACAAGTTGGGGTAGGCTAGAGGTGAAACCCATAAGATCTCGCAACCAACTCATGGCTCTGGCACATGGATAGCAAGCTTCCACGCACCCCTGTCCAAAGCTAGCTCTTTGGTGATACTTCAATCCTTCAGGTCTCTCTTAACGGACTCCTCCCATGTCAAATTCGGTCTACCCCGCCCTCTCTTGACATTCTGCGCACGCTTCAGCTGTCCGCTATGCACTGGAGCTTCTGGAGGCCTGCGCTGAATATGCCCAAACCATTTCAGACGATGTTGGACAAGCTTCTCTTCAATTGGTGCTACCCCAACTCTATCTCGTATATCATCATTCCGGACTCGATCCTTCCTTGTGTGGCCACACATCCATCTCAACATACGCATCTCCGCCACACCGAACTGTTGAACATGTCGCCTTTTAGTCGGCTAACGCTCAGCGCCATACAACATTGCGGGTCGAACCGCCGTCCTGTAGAACTTGCCTTTTAGCTTTTGTGGCACTCTCTTGTCACAGAGAATGCCAAAAGCTTGGCGCCACTTCATCCATCCGGCTTTGATTCGATGGTTCACATCTTCATCAATACCCCCATCCTCCTACAGCATTGACCCCAAATACCGAAAGGTGTCCTTCTGGGGAACCACCCGGCCATCAAGGCTAACCTCCTCCTCCTCACACCTAGTAGTACTGAAACCGCACATCATGTACTCGGTTTTAGTTCTACTAAGCCTAAACCCTTTCGATTCCAAGGTTTGTCTCCATAACTCTTAACTTCCTATTTACCCCTGTCCGACTATCGTCAACTAGCACCACATCATCCGCAAAGAGCATACACCATGGGATATCTCCTTGTATATCCCTTGTGACCTCATCCATCACCCAATGCAAAAGGATAAGGGCTCAAAGCTGACCCCTGATGCAGTCCTATCTTAATCGGGAAGTCGTCAGTGTCGACATCACTTGTTCGGACACTTGTCACAACATTATCGTACATGTCCTTGATGAGGGTAATGTACTTTGCTGGGACTTTGTGCTTCTCCAAGGCCCACCACATGACATTCCGTGGTATCTTATCATAGGCCTTCTCCAAGTCAATTAACACCATATGCAAGTCCTTCTTTTGCTCCCTATATCTCTCCATTAGTTGTCGTACCAAGAAAATGGCTTCCATGGTGGACCTCCCAGGCATGAAACCAAACTGATTTTTGGTCACGCTTGTCATTCTTCTTAAGCGGTGCTCAATGACTCTCTCCCATAGCTTCATTGTATGGCTCATCAGCTTAATTCCACGGTAATTAGTACAACTCTGAACATCCCCCTTGTTCTTGAAGATTGGTACTAATATATTCCGTCTCCATTCTTCTGGCATCTTGTTTGCCCGAAAAATGAGGTTGAAAAGCTTGGTTAGCCATACTATCGCTATGTCCCCGAGACCTTTCCACAACTCAATGAGGATACAATCAGGGCCCATCGCCTTGCCTCCTTTCATCCTTTTTAAAGCCTCCTTGACCTCAGACTCCTAGATTCGCCGCACAAAACGCATGTTGGTCTCATCAAAGTAGTCGTCCAGTTCAATGGTAGAACTCTCATTCTCCCCATTGAACAACTTGTCGAAGTACTCCCGCCATCTATGCTTAATCTCCTCGTCCTTCACCAAGAGTTGGCCTACTCCGTCCTTGATGCATTTGACTTGGCCAATGTCCCTCGTCTTCCTCTCTCGGATCTTGGCCATCTTATAGATGTCCCTTTCGCCTTCCCTCGTGCCTAACCATTGGTAGAGGTCCTCATATGCCCGACCCCTTGCTTCACCAACAGCTCGCTTTGCAGCCTTCTTCGCCATCTTGTACTTCTCTATGTTGTCTGCACTCCTATCCAGGTATAGGCGTCTGAAGCAATCTTTCTTCTCTTTAATCGCCTTCTGGACATCATCATTCCACCACCAGGTATCCTTATCTTCGCTTCTCCTTCCCCTGGACACTCCAAACTCCTCCGAGGCCACCTTACGGATGCAAGTCGCCATCTTCATCCACACATTATCCGCATCCCCTCCTTCCTCCCAAGGGCCCTCCTTAATGACCCTCTCCTTGAACGCCTGAGCTACCTCCCCCTTGAGCTTCCACCACTTCGTTGTAGCGACTTTGGCACGCTTATCCCGCTGGACACGAATCCGAAAGCGGAAGTCAGCAACCACCAGCTTATGCTGGGGTACAACACTCTCTCCAGGTATCACCTTACAGTCTAGGCACGCACGCCTATCTTTTCTTCTCGAGAGGATGAAATCAGTCTGGCTATAGTGTTGGCCACTACTAAAAGTCACCAGATGTGATTCTCTCTTTCTAAAGAGGGTGTTAGCTACAATCATGTTGTAGGCTAGAGCAAAGCTTAAGGCATCTTCTCCTTCTTGATTCTTGATGCCATAGCCAAAGCCCCCATGCGCCCCTTCAAAACCTGTGTTAGATGTACCCACGTGGCCATTGAGGTCTCCTCCTATGAAGAGCTTCTCACCAATCGGTACACTCCTAACCATGTCTTCCAGGCCTTCCCAGAACTCCCTCTAGGTGTTCTCATTGTGGCCTACTTGCGGGGCATACGCGCTGATAACATTGAGAACCAAGTCCTCAACTACCAGCTTGACCAGGATAATCCGGTCCCCACGTCTCTTGACGTCTACCACTCCATACTTGAGGCTCTTGTAGATCAAGATGCCTACGCCATTTCTGTTTGCAGCCGTCCCCGTGTACCACAGCTTGAAGCCGGTATCCTCCACCTCCTTCGCCTTCTGTCCTCTCCATTTGGTTTCTTGGACGCAAAGGATATCAACACCTCTCCTCACCGCTGCATCAACTAGCTCCCGAAGCTTCCCTGTCAGAGACCCTACGTTCCAGCTACCTAAGCGAATCCTCCTAGGCTCGGCTAGCTTCCTTACCCTTCGCACTCGTCGAGTCAAATGCGAAGACCCTTGCTCATTTTCCACTACATCCGGGCGCCGATGTAGCGCGCCACTAAGGATGCGACGACCCGATCCTCGCTCACTTGCCACCGTATCCGGATCCAGATACGGCGCGCCACCTGGGGGGTGACGGCCCGGCCCTTGCTCATTTTCCACCACACCCGGGTTCCGATGTGGCGCGTCGCTGAGAGGGTATCTTTTGGGTTTCATCTTCATAAGAGTGGCTGAGTTTTTACGTTGGCTCGCCAAGCCTATCACAACCCTCCTCCTTTACCCGGGCTTGGGACCGGCTATGTTGAGACAACATAGGCGGAGTTGATTGTTTATTTTCAATGACTTCAGAAATTTGAAAATGTCGTTTCTGACGTCAATCCCATTGCAACCAAACAAATAACAAAGATTGTGATCTTGTTTCGCTAATGTTGTATAAAGCCCTGATATGTCTTGTTCATGTTTAATTGATCTTTTGCCCAATATTTGCTCCATAGAGCGATACCCCTCTTTGAAGTGTGGTTCTTACACGTGCTATCCTACCTTGCAGGGGCCAGTTGGGTTTGTCTGAAGAGCAGCAGAAGAAAGCTCTGGAGCTTAGGCGCGCGACGAATGGCCTGACTGAGGAAGAATCAAGCGCCAAAGAATCCCCTGAAGCAAATGGAGCCAACGGTGCTGCTTGCAACCCTGCACCTGCAGGTGGATGCTGCCAGGGCAATGGAGGAGGTTTAACCTGCTGCCAAAGTGATCTGCCAGCAGGAAAACAGGATAAGAGCGTCCCAGCTGAGCAGAACCACAAGAGCTCTACGACAGAGAGTGACAAAGAAAACGGTGCTGCCAGCAAGAAGGGGCGCATGAAGATTTGCCGGATGCCCACCTGGTTCGAGACCTGGGACAAGTCCGACACCTACACCACTCTTGCTGTTGTTGCTTCTGCTGCAACCGTGTTCGCCGCCTTCAGGTGCTACAAGGCCATGAACTGAACCCTCAAAACAAGGCCAGGTTCTTTGCACCAAGGACAGTCTACCGCAGTAAAACAATCCGATTTGAAAATAATATACTGCCTGTGCATATCAAGATAATATGCGTTAGGACTTTAGAAAGTACAGTAGCTGATCTGGAGATGGCGATGAAAATCTGTTATGCGTAATGCCCTCATGTACTAAAAGTCTAAAACTCGTAAGTTTGAAGTTCCCCACGCCTTGGCTGCATGGCTGTGGCTGTGGTGTTCAGCGTGATGATGATGTTATGCTCGTTTGGCTGGAACTGGGATGCTTGCGTTAGAAAAACTGTGCATTGCTGGCATTTGCTTCTTTGAAGCACAAATTATGGTGGCATGAGAAAATTATTTTGTGTCCGGTGCTTGCAGTATTTGTTTTTCTGAAGCAGTATCTGCAACCTTCAGAATTTGGTATTTCGAATGAATTGCCCCATAAACTGGCCTCTGCTGTCATTTTCTGGCCTGGCTAACTACTGCGTTAGCAGTTAAATGGTAGTCGAGGTACACATTTCTGAGAGTTCCCCATACTATCTCCAGCAAAACCTCAGCTATACCGACACCCCACTATTGGGTAACACTGAAAGGATCTTACGTTTCGCGAACGAACATTCAGTAACAGGAGCCTCGATGTCCATGACGACTTTGGCTGAGAAAAACTACAATGACTAATCTCATATGCACTCCCCGTGCACAACAAAATTTTCCTTCACCAAATTTGAGTGTACTGTCGTTCACTTAAATATCCTCCAAGGCTAATGGGCTTTCTTGAACCCTAATATGCATACTTTTGTCCTCTTCACGGTCTACTGTTTTGCCTCACTGTCAGTAAAAATAGCCAATTAAGAATAACGAAGAGAACAAAAATAGACAGTGATCCAAGGATAAGCGTCTTGCCAGTCCCTCCCCAGCTTAATTATTACTCCCTCTGTAAACTAATATAAGAGCGTTTAGATCACTACTTTAGTATTCTAAACGCTCTTATATTAGTTTACGGAGGGAGTATTTTTGAATCAAAGGGGTTTCCCCCCGCCCAAACTTTTTATTAAAGCGGAGGCAAACAGCCAGACTACAACGTTTGAACAGCTCTCGGTCACAAGCAGAAGTAGCTGCAATGGACTTATTACAATGTTTTAACGAAAACTAGCAAACAGTCTGATAGGTACTTCCTCCGTCCGAAATTACTTGTCATCAAAATGGATGAAAATGGATGTATCTAGAACCAAAATACATCTAGATACATCCATTTCAATGACAAGTATTTTCGGACAGAAGGAGTACTCAACAGGAAGGAAGCTATACATATACTCCCTCCGTCCGGAAATACTTGTCGGAGGAATGGATGCATCTAGTCATATTTTAGTTTTAGATGCATCCATTTTTATCCATTTATGCGACAAGTATTTTCGGACGGAGGGAGTACATCAGAAGCGCACAATGCTAACCACCACAAGAGTGGCACATCAAAGAGCCGACCCAAGCTACTCTCAGGAGCTCCCCTCGATGATGACAGGTGCAGACATTTGAGGAGCAGTGAAGCTTGAGCATCGTTGCAAAGCACCTTCCATTGACGCACAAAACATCCTATCATGCCCAGAACACACTTCAGACTTCGCCAAGAGGTGGCCCTGAAAACAAATTCATTTCATAGCAACCATAAGCTCACAAAGTAGCAATGTAATCAAGTTGATAACAACAACGTTCTTCCTCCTTTCCCCCCAAAAAACAACAAGATCACAAAGCAATGAGGAACATGTTGATAGCCACAATAGCCTCCCAGATTTTGGTAGCCACAATACATTAAAAAATGGAATGTTGAATGCTCTCCAGTCAACAATAGAAAACATAGGTAGGATCAGCCACATGGCGTCTCTTCGCCAAGTTGTCCCTAGTCAAACTTTTATAGTTATATATAAGCCACAAGAAGAC